TGTGTGTGTGTGTGTGTGTGTGTGTGTGTCTGTGTGTCTGTCTGTGTCTGTGTGTGTGTGTGTGTCTGTGTCTGTGTTTGTGTGTGTGTCTGTGTGTCTGTCTGTGTCTGTGTCTGTGTGAGTGAGTGTGACTGTGTCTGTCTGTGTCTGTGTCTGTGTCTGTGTGTGTGAGCAATAGAGCGCTGGAGGATGTGGAGTGTGTTGATGAGTGCTGGATTTATGAACGTGTGTTATCAGGGTTACCGGCAGAATGCAAACTTTGCCAGTGACATCACTTCAGTATGCATGTATTAATAGCGCTTTTTCCATGTTGGTGTCCCCCCCCCCCACACACACACACACAAACACACACATTACTGTTCAGGTTTTCCTCATCTGATTCTCATGGTAAATTGCTGTAGTTTCTGAACTAGTCTTCAGGTTTAGTGCTGATAGTTTGAGTTGCTTTAGTTCAAACACCTCGTCTCGTTCGTGAGAATCATCTGGCTGATTCATGTCATTCATTTTTAGCTTTTCCACTCTTACGTCAATACAGCACGAGGACAGACGGAGAGACCGAAACAGACAGACAGACAGGAGGGAAAAAACGGAGGGAGGGTGTGTGTGTTGAGGAGTAACTAACTAAAAGTAGTCATGTTACTACCTCCTCTTATCTACATCTACATTTAACTATGTCTACATTAATTAATTCTTTTTATATTAACTAGCTAAACCAGTCTAACCAACTAAAATAATTGCTGTTACTGGTTAATCTAAACCTGTTTCAGATGAAGGAGAGTTTTTTTTTAGAAACTTTTGAAACTAGCTCTTTGAAATTGAGCGTCTTTTTCAGTAGCAAATCATTTTTGCATTCACTTGATGTTTTGGTCGCATTTTATTGCGTAATGATTCGTTTAGGCCATTGTCTTGAATGAACAGTTCAAAACAATTCACTTGATCTCTGTGCTGAATCAAGTGTCTTTTATAGTTAGTGTCACTCTTTTCTGTTCTGCTATATAAATTGTTTTGTTTGTTGTATTTAGTGTAAATTGATCTACTTAAGGCAAGACGATAATAAATTAAACCAATAAATATCAGCATACTTTTCCAGTTGGTTGATTACATTAAGAACAGCAAAACATTTTTGTATTACTAGTTTTTTTTAGAAATGTTATGTTTAAATGTGCAAATGAAGAATTTTCTACAAAAAACATGCACTAATTTGCATATATTTCCAGAACAGAAATCTGAATCCAGATTCAAAATTCTTATTTGATTTGGTTGACATAGTGTTAAAGGGAATTTTTTATTTTTATCACCCCATAAATATGAAAAATGCATTTTGCCGTGTTTTTAAAATAAAATGTTGTATAAATCAGTGTGAATGAGATATGAGCAAACCCCTCAGTAAAAACCTCCAGAATATAGAGAGGAATAAAACTGTAAGTTTTGGTGTTTGTAAGTGCTGCTGAAGTGGAGAAAAAACTCACAGACTTTAAATATATGCATTTTTGCCATGTTTATAGGAATAAAATGTTATATAAATAAGTGTGAATGAGATATGAGCAAACCCCTCAGTAAAAACCTCCAGAATATAGAGAGGAATAAAACTCTAAGTTTTGGTGTTTGTAAGTGCTGCTGAAGTGGAGAAAAAACTTTTGAAGATATGGATTGGAATTGAAATCTGCAGTCGCAAATAGATGAAGCGCAATAAAATAAACACTTCAAAGTGTATTTAGGATGTTTTCTTTCCACTAGTCTCTAGTCATTAGTAGTTAATTCAATACTGCATGAAAAGCCAAATATCCTAAAATCTCAAAATTGACCAGTTCTTAAAAACAATGTTTGCCTGTAGTTTCAAATTTAACCATATCTCTCTAAACGAGATCCAGTTTTTGTCGGTTTTATTTATTTAGACTTTCACAACACTTTCTGCTGCTGTGAAAGTAAAAATAAACATCATAATCTGATATGTTTAAAAATATTTATAGACATATACAGTATTTCAAAGATACTTCCTCTTTGAATAGTTTCCCTGTAGCTATCAGCTTCTTGTTAGTATGGCTTGGTAATGTTTCGGTTTCACTTTATTTTACAGCACGAGTACTTGCATGTACTTACAGTGTACTTACCTAAGAAAGTACTGGTAATATAAGGTAACTACATGGGGTAGGTTCAGGGTTAGTACTTAGTTATTACCTAGTTATTGTAATTACTATAATAAGTACATAGCACATACACACTCACACTCAAACACACATGCACGCACGCACGCACACACACTCACACACACACACACACTCACTCTCATACACGCACACATACGCTGGAGGTAACACACATTTTGTCAGCTGTTTTAATTATTCATTCATGTATTTGGCATCACTCACAGTGTGACACGATCAACTAAATTTAAACTAAATTGACTGAATTAAATCTACATTAAAAAAATATATTTTTCTAAGTTGTAAATAAATCAAAGATTAGAGGAGATTATGATTTACAAGAAAAATCTATTTTTTTTCTAGAGTTTCTACTCCGAAATTTCACATTTAACTCAATGTGTTACTTGTCATTTCTTTGTAAATAGTTGTGAAATTTACTAGCAGTTTTTGAGTGAAAGTTGTTGTTTTTTAAACCTTTATTTAACCAGGACTTTATTTGACTCTCTGGTCCTGGCCAAAATGGACAGCAAAATCACGAAATTTACAAAGCAAAGACAAACTAAGAACACTTAAAGCAATTACATATCATCGAGTCATCTTCCATTTGCCGAATAACTATTTTAAAATAATTAAAAGACAGCAAATTTTGTAATTTCAGTTTCAATTGAAGAAGATTCCAATCAGATGGAGCTGTACACTGCAAAAAAATATTTTTCTTTTTTAGTATTTTTGTCTTGATTTCTTGTTTCTTAAAACAAGTACAAATATCTGCCAGTGGGGTAAAAACAATAATCTGGTTTAGCCTTTGAATTAAGATTATTTTTATTAACCCATTGGCAGATATTTTTACTTGTTTTAAGCAAAAACTAACAAAATTTGGATAATATTTTTAGAAAACAAGACAAAATATCTTAAGTCGTTTTACTTGTCAAGTAAATTCATCCTGATTCAAGAATTTTTTTATATTTATACTAGAAAACAAGACAAAAATACAAAAAAAAAATTTTTTTTTTGCATTGTTATACGTTTGTTACGGAATGTTTTCATCTTTGTTAATAAAAATGCAAATGTTGATTGTTAGTTCATGTTTGCTCGGGTCCAATAAATAATATTAACAGATACAACTTTTGATTTTCATAATGTATTGATAAATGTTGAAACTAACATTATGATTAATACATTCTTTAGATATGTTTTTCATTGTTAATTCATGTTATTAATGCAGTGCTAACAAATGGAAAACTTATTGTAAAATGTTACCTCTATTTCTTATATTTTATGTCATATATTATATAAATGTAGATTCTTAAGCACGTACATATGTTACTCTGGAGCACAAAAGCAGTCATAAGTAGCACGGGTATATTTGTAGCAATAGCCAACAATACATTGTATGGGTCAAAATTATAAATTTTTCTATTATTCAAATTATTAATTTCTCATCCCGCGCCATAACAGTTACAACGGGGAGGGGGGGGGCGGGGGCAGGCGGATCAGGGAGCTCCGGGAGCCATGGCGGAGCAGGCAGTTCAGGTTGCCATGGCGGAGCAGGGGACTTAGGAGGCCATGGTGGATCAGGCAGTTCAGGAGGCCATGGCGGATCGGGCAGTCCAGGAGGCCATGGCGGATCGGGCAGTCCAGGAGGCCATGGCGGATCGGGCAGTCCAGGAGGCCATGGCGGAACGGGCAGTCCAGGAGGCCATGGCGGAG